TAAGATAATGTGCAGTGAGATGGGAGCAACTAGAGTTTATTTTGTCATAAGGGAGTGGGATTATGCATGCCACGAAGTATTTGCTAGTCTAGTACTGGAGAAATTAGCGTTTGGATGTGCATTGTGAGCCTTTAACAGCCTACTAATCAAGCTGTATCGGCAATGGCTACATAATGGCATCCTCCTCACACTGCCCCTCCCCCCACAGCCCACGATTGTCTACGGCATTACAACAGCATCTACTGCAGTGTAACTACACGCTCTATCACTGTGTAACCGCGCCATGTATCACTATCACCATCACCATCATCATCATCATCACCATCACCATCATCGTCATCATCATCATCATCATCACATCAACAATGTGTTGGCGCGTGATGCTAGACTTGATAGCTCTACCACTAGAGGTCTCCACCATATGGCTAAGGGCTAAAGCCAGCACATACTTAATGAGGTGGCTCCAGTGTAGAATTCAAATGCTTAAACTTTGGACCCGCTTAAGATATACACGACAGAAAGAACACATGCAACTCACGACTAGAAGAGATCTAGTCACGCCGCTGTACAAACAAAAGGGCGAAGAACAATTCAAGACTCTATGAAAAATAAGATCGTGCTTCTCTCGACGATTAGTTATTTATTAAAGCAAAACTATATACAGATTAAACATACTTACAATTAACATCCTGCATTTGTTCATACTCTCACACCCTCCTGAGTTACTTTTCTCAATGCGTTACAACAATAGCTGCATATTAATCATGTAATAATTAAGCACTTGTACAGAATTCCCCTTCAACACACTTATTCCGGTTTACGCGTTAGACGTGAGGCTGGGTTCCCCGTGTAATATGTGACGACACATTCTGAAAGAGAGCTGACACACAAATTCACGACACCAATCTGACCTGTACTGGATTTTTTAATAGCACCACTGTGAACCAAAGTTTGTTACGAACCCTAATCATAATGAGTAGTTGCTTAATGGAACTGCTAAATATGTACATGCATTAGCCATTAATATATATATATATATATATATATATATAATGGAGATACCTGGAACTGGACTTGTTACTGGATACAATAGCTGAAACAATTTAAATATGTCAGCATCAGTGAATACCTACAACATTATACGATGACGATGTCCAACTACTTGTTCTCATTACACCTACAAACATGTACACGTACACAGATATATGTTCCAACCACTATTTGTCAACTTCAGACTGGCGTATCTTTCTCTGTATGGGAGTGCTTCTGTTCCAGCACGGCGGCATACTTAAGCTGTCAAGGTCACAATATCCTCAAGGTCACATACTCCTCAAGGTCACATACTCCTACATGGAAGCTCACGTAAAAGGTCTCACGTGCTCTCTCGCTGATGGTCGCCTGCCTTAATTCGTACTGCCGAAGGTCGTGTGTCCGCATGCTGAAGGTCATTGCCCAATGTTGCCGTAGCTTGCTAGGTTGCTGAGGCTCTTCTGGGCCGACGCGCTGCGCAGGATCCCGCTCGTGTCCGACGATGTGCTCGCATCATCGCCATTACCGTTCATCGGTGGCTGCTGGCGCCACCTGTGTGCCATGTGCGGGGACCCACGATAGTCTATGCTGTACTGAAACGAGCCACGACACGACGTTGGGGAGATGAAACATACGGGAGGCAATGAACATATATGAATAAATATAAATACGTATGAATAAAGAGTGAACAATCCCAAATAAGCCGATTTTAACATGTTTAGGCTCACCCTTCAATTTTCAGAGGCTAATCATTTAAAAGATTCATTGTGAGCTTTCACATTAGAAATTAACCAGACTATTTAATCAGTCGAGAAGCCTGGATGGGGTAACATAGTAAGTTATTATTAAATAAAGAAATAAAGGATAAAGGATAGGTTCGAATTTCTAGCATCGGTCAGCTAAATATACACGTCATAACACGACACAGTAATAGTGCAGCAAACACATAGATGGGTCTTGGATACCTTGGTCGCACAGATAAGACAGGTGGTCACCAGCTTAGCTATGGCATTCATCAAGTTCTTCGTTTCCTGAATGACACTGTCCACCTGCATACAGAAAGTCAAAGATCTTTCACAAGATGGAGCCACTAGAGGGTAATCGAGCAAATAGCCAAGCATGCAAGCATAAATTCAAAAACCTTCCCACACATCTGTTGCCACTATCAACTGGCCACCGTTTCAATAACTAATCAACGAAAGTTTGTGTATAGCATGTTTATATGTGTGGCGGTCCAGGATAACCAGGCGCACGTCGCTGGGTCAATAATAGAGTAATGCATTGTTTTAGCAAAATACATTGAAAATTCTTCTCAAGATCATTTTTTTACTATTCGTGTAAAATTGTTTATTAACTCTTCATTTTCACTCTCCTAAATCATTTTCTCGATAAAATTATCCAAAAGTTTTTTTCCGCTAATTTTTATACTCTGTCATTATAATAGGCTGAAGAACAAAGCATTAATTTCAAATGACCTTTTCTCATTTCTTTGTTTTTCAAAATATCCCGAATAATGTCATCTTAAAACGTTCATGAAATTTGTACTAGGTGAGATAATTGAAAAATTACAATGGTTTTGAGCTTTGATGAACCTGGGGATTCTGGAAACACCATACAAAGCACAAATTTTGACCATGTGCCTGGTTTTCCTGGACTGCCACACATATGTCGCATGTTCATGTTCATCTTTACGTTTATACACGTAATACGTTAATACAGATTTTACACATATACTTATACACATGCACATTAACACTGGAGCAGTGGCGCCCGCAGATAGAAGCACTGGAAGCACAGTGCTTCCAGTAAATTTAGGTTAAACAATTTTGTTCCTACATTTTATTCCTAAATGTCTCTCGCAAGACTCACCAGATTGCATCTCCAGACATCTACCATTCAAAAATTTTCAGGGGGGGCATGCCCCCACCCCCCTAGCATGCAGCGCGCCTACAGCGCTTGCTTTATATTATCACCGAGGATTTTATCCTTCTGTGCTTCTACTTTCTTAAGACCTGTGGGCGCCAGTGCACTGGAGACATACCTTGTTAAAGGTAGCAGCCTTGCCGATGGTGGGCGACTTGATAGTGAACAGCAGCTGCTGGATTAGAGGTGGAACTTTGTCAAGGTACATCTGCAAGTCCGACTTCTGCGGGCCATTCGGAACCTGCAAGAAAATTATCGTCTCTGCTTATCACTGTTGCATCAACTCAGCACCAAGGATTATCTGTTTTTAAGCTTGAAAAATTGGTTTTGCAAATTTTTTGGCCCTCCAGTTTGCCGAAGCGTTCACTTTTTAGCCAGAAATCACATTATGAATAACAACTGAAACGAAAAACTGTTCCAACAGTTGGAACAAATGCATCTGTTCGCTTCTTTTCTCACTACCTGCCACTCCCCAATGCTTCACAGCCTGGTTGGCTCTATTACCCAACACACGCTCTGTTTCTCCACGGTTTATGCCCAGTGCCTCTACCCTGCTCACCTGAAACAAGAACTCCTTGACGGACTTGTGCAGCTTGTTAGCTTCCTCGGCGAAGTAAGCGGCCTGAGTGAAGAGGTCCTGTGTGGTCTTGAGTGGGCCCTCGCCACGCGTGAACAGGTACATACTGAAGGCCATGCTCGACATGTTCTTCGCTCGCTTGACGACGTCGTTCTCCGCCTCCTCCCACTTCTCCGTCTCCGCGTCCATCTCAGACGTGATCAGCTTCATCTCGAGGCCCAGCTTGGCAATCTTCGCTTGTTCCTGTAACACGGCAGGGAAGAGCTTTACCTTCACTCTGCCATGCCACAGACTTAACATCTCCAGCCCATGTTACGCCCCACATACTATCATGATACAGAAATCCGAGCTTAGCAATCTTCGCTTGTTCCTGTAACACGGCAGGGAAGAGCTTTACCTTGACCAAGGGTAGAAATTAGTTTGAAAATTTACAGGCCAGCCGGGCCTGTTGGATTTTACAGGCCCGGTGAGCGATACTGCGGTAACTTTTCATCCTCGCTGGCCGGTGATGGTACCGGGGACGGTTTTGCATGCTGGGGTAGATTTTCCACGGGCCCGTCGGGCTTGCTAGTATTAGAAATGTCAGGCCTGAGCCTTAAAATATGGGCATCGGCCCCGCGGGCCGCTGTTTTCGACCCATGTTGACTCTGCCATGCCACATCGTCTAGAGTTAACATCTCCAGCCAATGTTATGCCCCACATACTATCAGGAGTAAGATAATATAGGATCCTATATTATCTTACTCCTGATACTATCATGATAGAGAAATCCATCTGAGTGAATGTCGTCACTTATGTTCGTCAATCTGGTCAGTATACCAACAGCGATAATCTAGAGTAAAGGTTTACTAACTATGTCTTTGTTACTCAAGAGCATCCGTGTAAGGCAGGCAGCATTATGTTAGGTATGCTAACAGGCACTTGGAACGTCTCAATAAAAGAAATTATAGTAAATAAACACGAAATGTATTTACTACCAAAGTGTTAATGTTTCTCTATTCTCTTTCGCCTATTATTGCCGATAATTTCCTGTAAATGTTGTTCAAATGCTCTTCTGCAACACACAAGTACACCGCACACACACCACTGTGCACAAACAACAAGAATAAAGAGTTATTTGTATTTTGTTTTTTGTTATTGTATTTGTATTTGTAATTGTATATTAGATTTGTAATTGTTATTTGTAAACTCTTTATTCTTGTTGTTTGTGCATAGTGGCATGCGTGCAGTGTACTCATGTGTTGCAGAGGAGCATTTGAACAACATTTACAGGAAATTATTGGCAATAACAGGTGAAAGAGAGTAGAGAAACATTGAGACTTTGGTAGTAAATACATTTCATGTTTATTTACCATAATTTTTTTTATTGAGACGTTCCCAGTGCCTGTGGGTGTGCCACGAGCAATGTGAACTCCTGTCATGACATCGCGTAGCTCTCAACAGTTGTGGTTTGACATGGGAATGTCAAACCACAACTGTTTAAACTTGAGCGGGTTCGCCATGAACATGGAACATTCGACGCATGCAGCACTGCAAATCCTCACGGATTTCAAAGGGTGGAACAAAAAACAGTGATAGGTGAATAAGTAATCGAGCGACGGGCATAAACTTAACGATCAATAATTAGCAATCGATAAAACGTAAACGTACGCACCTCAGCGTTAAGTCTTGCCGGTCGAAGCCACTTTGCTGTCGTGCCATGTTTCTGTGAAGAACAAACAGAGATTCGATTGCAATGACAATATGCCGTTTGCAGTCTTGATGGATCACGTCACGCGGGAAAACGCTTTGAACGTGTGAAAACACTTACACACGCAATGTATAAATGTGCCGAACACACACACACACACGTAGCACGTATTACGAGAAACCTATCCACGACACGATTACAGTAAAACCTGTAGATCACCTGTAAAGGGTCACTCCAGAGAAGTGCCACTTGTCCTTTATATACAGCCGTTCATTATATGAAGGTGGTTTTACAGTATCAATGTTGTAATACAGAGCTGCTGAAATTGTCGTATTCAGGTGTCTGTTTCTACATCAGGGACAGCCAGCATCGGTTTGACTGCAGTTTGTGTGTACATGCGCACACGGTACACTATTACAGACAACTTCCTCACGATAACATACATATTATGCCGACAAACATATACTAAAATTAAATTCCACATCAACAAATACATACTCAAATTGAACGTTACATCAACAAATATATATTAAAATTCAGTCAAAATATACATAATACAGTGTAGCCCCGTTATAAGGGGGTCCATAAAATGTCATCGCGAAAAAAGCGGGGTCGGTATTAAATCAGGGTTATATATATATACGTGGCTATATAAGAGCAAAAAAGGGAGTCCAACGACTCATCGCGTTATATCCGAATTCGCGTTAAATCGGGGGCGCGAAAAATCGGGGTTCCATAGAATTTAAATGCATACACAACACAAACACAATGCAAGAACGACGAATCGAGACGATCGGCTGAAAGCGAAAGCATCTCTCTCACCCCGGGGCGCGGCAGCGACATGTAGGTCTGCTTCTCAGCGGCGATGCGTCCGAAGCAAGCGTCGGTGACCTCCTTGACGAGAACAGACGTGTCACTGACCTGCATCTCCCACGCGTCGCAGAAGATGTCAAGGTTCTCCTTACCTATCTTGCTCGACGGATGTGTCGAGAGCGTCTGAGCGGCCGAGATCACCTGATGACGACGATGTTATGAGGTGATCATTACATATCGCAATCCCCAGCAGGTCAGGATCACACGACCTCTACACACGCACGCACGTACGCACGCACGTACGCACGCACGCACACACAACACACATGTGAACACATGCATGCACACATATGTGAACACATACACATAGGCAAGCGCACACACAAACAGTTACGCATGCATGCACGCACGCACATACACACACACACTCACGCCTGCACGCACACACGCACGCACGCACGCACACACAACACACATTTGAACACATACATGTAGGCAAGCGCACAATGTACACACACACACACACACACGGAAGCATGCACACACTCACGCACACACGCACGCGTGCGTGCATACACGTACGCATGCACGCACGCACGCACACACACACACACACACACGCACGTACGCATGCACGCACGCACGCACGCACACACACACGCACACACACACACTAACACAAATAATATGCAATTCACACTGTCACTTAAACTCTTAATCTTCTTATATTAGGCAATCGGCATTCACAGCCAACACTGATGACTCAATACTGTGGGTGGGGGTGGGCTCTGTTATTGTCACGCTGTGGGTGTATGTGGAAGTACGGCAAGGGTAGTCGTCAGGGAAAAAAAATTTATTTTTCGGCATCGTGCATGAAAATATCACTCTAAAATTTGGTTTGCATTGAACTCTATGCAAATTTACGGGGGCTCTTTTTGGCATTTCGGGGGCTAAATCGCCCCGAGCCCCCGTGTATTTTTTCCACTGGTAGCCGTGTGTGAACAACTAGCTGTATGTGAACCACTGACTGCGAAAACCTTCCAGACATGTTGCACCTGTATAGTGTTAACCCGCAGACGTTGGCCGGCTCTCTCATCTCTGTGTGCCGGCACTGGCAATTACTAACCTACGAGATCAAACGAGTTACCCCCCCCCTCCACCCGAGAGGAAAATAACGAGTTTTTTTAGCAGTGAGGTGCATTGAGAGAGTGAAGAGCTGTGTGCACAGTTCAGTACTCTGGGAATGGATGCTTGCCATGTCAACTTTGTCGGGTAGCAAAATCAATAGCCATAAAAAGCGGAGTCGGTGGCAAACAATAAATTGTGGGTCGGCCGGACAATAAATTGGACCGACAAACACACGACACTTAGATGCGCCGTCTGATATGCTCGTAGTTTCATAAGACATTGATTAGTCGTATTGTCGATAGAGTAGAGAAGACTTCAGTTACGACCAACGACCGCTGCCGCCGCCGCCGCCGCCGCCGCCGCCGCCG